AAACTTGCTTACTTGTTTTACGCACCACTAAATTTCCCTCAAGTATTTTCTCCGCAAGATTTCACATTCAGCCGTCCTTCGTCCACCATCTTGGAGAATTTTATAATATGAAACACGCAAGCTGATTTGTCGTGCTATTTTCGTCTATTTTTAACCGGCCGTTCGGAACATTTCGGAGGTTTACATGCTGTGATGCCGATATAACCAGAGGACTTCCGGATATAATATCGGATTTCGGCGCAAGATTTTGAAGACGAGAAAAAACACAGAAAAAACATAAAATTTGTACATTCTTGCTAAAATGGCAATTGTCACATGGTAAGTAAAATATTATGGAATGATAAAAATAAAATAGCTGTTAAATTACAAGGCTTTATTCTAATGCTAATGCATTAAAAACTATAACACATATAATATGATCTGAAATAATTCTGTCAATTAAAACAAAAGATCCGTAAAAAGGTGTATTAGTCAATTAGTAAACATTCTAAATACAAGATTAAGAATTATACATATATTTCAGTTATTTACCATGACACTGAAAATTACATCTGATGCACAATGTAATGCAACAGCTATTTTATCTATCATAGTTATTCCTTTAGAAGGAATTTTAGGATAAATGATAACAAAAGCAGTCTGCAATTTAACATTGTAATATCCTGCATCATGTAACTTGTCATCACTTGATGGTAGAGGGCACGTCTATCATTTTTTTTTTAATAGATAAGACAAGTTTTATCTATTCAAGTGTATTTTTGATAGACGTGCCCACCACCTTTGAATAGGGTATTCATTTGGCACACATTCAGTAATTACTGAATAAGAATGGAACCACATACACATCATAAACAATTCACTCAAGCCAACATTATATTATTATTTGTTTTCCGTTTTCCGACCCAAGTCATATCAGCACGGGTAGGCAGGTGAATTATTTATTTTAATATTTAAAGAAAAAAAATCCAAATAAAATATTATTTAAATTTAACACAATCACAAAGTATAAGTACCTTTTTATGCCAACAAAATATTTTGGGTAGGTGTTATTTTGGTGGGTGGATAAATTAAAGGGGAAAGAAACAATATTTCATTTTATGCACATCTTGACAATTTCAACAAAAATGAATAATTCCTAGGCTAATTATATTATTCAAATAATGTGTCAGAACTTTCATGTCAGTTAACTTATGTTTATGCTTGTGTATGATAAACTCAGTCAGTTGATTTTCAACACATAATGGTCCCACAATTGCCATTTATTTTGTAATATTTAAAATTCTACATCACTGATATTGGACGTGTGTTCGATTTTAACAAAGACTGCATTATTTGTAACAGACTAACAGACAAAGACTGCATGATTTGTAACAGACTAACAGACAAAGACTGCATGATTTGTAACAGACTAACGGTACTTTCCAACACAAAAAGTTTGGATTCCTTGTAATTTGTTTCTAATAAAGATCACTGTCAGAACTCTTGTTTGTGAGCAACACCACATCATCAATTACCCACTATATAGTATTAACAGAAATGATCCACATACATTCTGTAATTCTCTAACTTTACCTGAGAACACACCTGGGCAGGTGTTATATCTACACATACATCTCTAACTTTACCTGAGAACACACCTGGGCAGGTGTTATATCCACACATACATCTCTAACTTTACCTGAGAACACACCTGGGCAGGTGTTATATCCACACATACATCTCTAACTTTACCTGAGAACACACCTGGGCAGGTGTTATATCCACACATACATCTCTAACTTTACCTGAGAACACACCTGGGCAGGTGTTATATCCACACATACATCTCTAACTTTACCTGAGAACACACCTGGGCAGGTGTTATATCTACACATACATCTCTAACTTTACCTGAGAACACATCTGGGCAGGTGTTATATCCACACATACATCTCTAACTTTACCTGAGAACACACCTGGGCAGGTGTTATATCTACACATACATCTCTAACTTTACCTGAGAACACACCTGGGCAGGTGTTATATCCACACATACATCTCTAACTTTACCTGAGAACACACCTGGGCAGGTGTTATATCTACACATACATCTCTAACTTTACCTGAGAACACACCTGGGCAGGTGTTATATCTACACATACATCTCTAACTTTACCTGAGAACACACCTGTATAGGTGTTATACCTACACATACTACTGTAGTATGTGTAGATATAACACCTATACAGGCATGTTCCCAGGTGAAGTTAGAGAATACATGTCTACATGTAGCTTCAGTTACCTGGTCTTCATCAGATTAGTGTCATTGATGTCATTTAGATTATGCTAAATTACTTATTTCTTCCACTGAAAAACTGCTGAGTCGATTTTGTCAAAATGTTTCAGCGTCTGTTAATTTACAAATTAAATCCGGAAGTCCTCTCGTCATATCTGCATCACAACATGTAAACTTCCGAAATGTTCCGAACGTCCGGTTAAAAATAGACGAAAATAGCTCGACCAATCAGCTTGCGTGTTACATATTATAAAATTCTCCAACATGGTGGACGAAGGACGGCTGAATGTGAAATCTTGCGGAGAAAATACTTGAGGGACACGAGAGGAGAAATTCAGTGGTGCGTAAAACAAGTAAGCAAGTTTGTTTTGACCTAATCTTTGAGTATACCATGGTTTATTAATGTTACGTCGTCCGCTATTCTGTGTACCGAATGAAGAATTTGTTTCGAAAAAATGTTCCGGATCGTGTCCGAGGTAACACAAATCGGTAATATTGGCAAGCTTCGAAACTGCTTACGAAGTAACTACACAGTTTGGAAGATATATAATGGGTGTTATTTAAAGATTGATGTCCCTACTTTCGATCGAGACTACGCTGTGGGAAGGATTTTAGCGGATGAAATTTCTGTGACACTTCAAACAAAATTACCTCAATTTTGCCAGCCGCTGGTAGGGGCTGAGTTCCTCACCTTTCTAGTCTTATCTATTAAAACAATAAATGATAGACGTGCCCTCTACCTATGTGTAGACCTGTTATATCGAGGTATGATCACCGAGTAGGATCGACTCGTCATGATTATTTATTGACGAGTGCATATCTATTGTCGAATTTCCTATATCTTTTGTTCTCAACAGATATTTGACTTCATTAGTGTTAGCTCCTCCATCAACATATTGGAAAAGCGTGTAAATTCCCTCTAGGTATTTGTCCAAAGCTGCAGAAATCCCGCCATTATTACGTCTGATCAGTATACCCTGGGGTGTACCGGGTAGCCTTAGGAGGAACAAGTCATATAGCGATTGACGGACATGGACGAGACTGTCGATATTGCCTGAATAAATACTGTTTAATTGTTTTTTACACGTTTCCTTGTCTTAAGATCCAACAGAGTCTTTGAGTTGATCATAGATACTTCTGTCTATCTGCGTGGATGTCATGCTGGGCTCTTCATCGTTAGGCATGTTACCACCGATATCTCTATTCTTAATGTTCTGCATAGCATATATATCCCACACAGTGATATCGTGAGTACATTTTGGTTCATATCAATAAACTGTTTTATGGGTCATATTCAATGTTTTTGGGTCGATTTCACAGTTTATCTTGTTACAAACACATTTAGGCCCTCACCCATTCACAGAAGTAGCAGAAGTTTTCGAATCATAGGCTGTATGACTTCAAAATATGTAGAGTCTTGAGTACAACCACCTTCGCCATCAGGGGTAGACAATCCCCCCAAAACACGTACTTATAATACACAAGTTTATTTCAAATGGATTTACTTGTATACTATAGATACATGTTTATACATATTCCATATCATGAGATTAAAAAATAGTTGACTTATACACAACATATATCTATATAATGTTTATACTAAGTTCAATTCAATTCTACTTTTAAGAATAACAATGTAGATCAAAATTATCATTAAGTCAGAATACGGATTTATAAATAAAGCTTTGTAATAGTTTTATGTCGTTGTGGTGTGATGTAAATGTATACATTATGTGATGTCTAGAATACGAATTTATAAATATAACTTTGTTATAGTTTTATGTCGTTGTGGTGTGATGTAAATGTATACATTATGTGATGTCTAGAATACGGATTTATAAATATAGCTTCGTAATAGTTTTATGTCGTTGTGGTGTGATGTAAATGTATACATTATGTGATGTCTAGAATACGAATTTATAAATATAACTTTGTTATAGTTTTATGTCGTTGTGGTGTGATGTAAATGTATACATTATGTGATGTCTAGAATACGGATTTATAAATATAGCTTCGTAATAGTTTTATGTCGTTGTGGTGTGATGTAAATGTATACATTATGTGATGTCNATAAATGGAACACAAATCCTATCTTTCAATATTTGAATTGGAATTCAATTTATTCATTACCCTTTAAGACTACTAAAGTTACAGTATAAAATTCAAAATCAAATTCTACCAGTAAATAAGTATTTGTAAAAGATCGGCATAACAATTTATGACACGTTTAACATATGCGGTACATAAAATAAAATAATGTAGAAGATTTAGAAAATATGTTTTGGGAATTTAATGAAGCTCAGGTCATTTGGACCAAACAAAAAAATGTCGCACACAAATATACTATCGAAAAAGTTGTTAACATATTTTTTAAAATATAGGAATAGTAGGAAAATGTATTCACATTAAACATATATGTAATAGGTTTTTACATCACCTATGAATTAATTATAACATAGACAGACAGACTTTCTTTATTTCCTCCTTGTAGAGATTGTACATGAATCATGCCTTATCTTGTGCTTACATCAAATGTAGAATATACATTGTATACACAATCATAGTAAAGTGTTCATCTCTGAGATCATTATAGGTATCAGGTTGTCGGTTGAAAGCTATGTAATTGACTTATTCTAAGGAAATCCATCCACCCACTTGTTTGATTTATTTATTATCTTATTTTACATAATGATTTTCTCTAAACTACGTTTTATAATACCATTAGACATTTTGAAAGGTAGTCAGTATGGACAACACATGGCACGTAATTCCACAACAACGGTGATAGCTGATCCTACGGGGAAACAGCCGAAGAATATACCAATCATACCGGTCCAATTAAGTGATTGGCAAGACACACGCCCAACCTACAAATTCAATGAGACAGTTACCAAGACAGACTGGTGGAAAGCGGCGTCTTTTCTGGAACTGTATGTCCATTTTCATTTCATTTCATTTCATTTCATCAAATTTTATTGACAAGATGTCATAATCAATTGGATTGAATAACAGGCAAAGCCTATATAAATTCTCTCCGTCAAATGGCCAAAGTTGAATAAACAAGGAGACATAATATTTTAGACATGTTGCAAATGAAAAAAATAACACAAAATAATTCATAATAACACAAGGCTAAGGGGAAGTAACTCATGAAGGAAACATCTCACACACACACTTACACACACATACAAGTACATGTACAAATACATTTATTTCAGCATATATATACACTATCATAGACAGATATTGGCAGGCTTAGACCAAAAGTCCATGTGCATATATTGCACAGGTCACTGCTACCAACAACTGTTACAATTAAAAATAATAAATTCATTTAATACATATAAAGTGTAATTATTTACAATGTCATGATAAGTACACGCAATAGACAGTAGTCATGCTCAACTAGAATCTCCTGGATGAAATATAGAATATATAGTATATTTTTGTATACCATCATGGCTTTAAGTCATATAAAAATTAAAACGACGGGATTTTCCAATAAAAATATGCACATCATCAAGTATTCTTCTATTTGTAAGCCCATCACAATCAGGACAGCCCTGGAGAAGAATGTTTTTATCAATGTGGTTGTGGTTTCCATAACTATTAAGAGAAGTGAACAAAGTTGTTCTTTGATTATTAAAAATAGGACATTCCAAAAAGTAATGAGATACTGTTTCATGTTCAGCAGAGCAGGTACAAGCAGGACTATTAGTAAGATGGTCATGGTGTAAATCATAATTTAAATTACTGCAAGAGTTTCGAAGTCGACATAGAATAATACTTGCTCTTCGGTTACCTTCTGTTTTGAAAATTGAAACAGATTCACTATCAGAAATAATATCTTTATTCAAATATTTTTTTAATGCTGCAGGAGAGGGAGAATTAAGAAGATCAGAATTTGCAATGTTAATTGTGCGGCACATTTGAGGGAAAAAACTGTCAAAATAGTTATTAGTTCTACATAACGGTGGGTTGAAAAGCCTAGTTTGTCTGAGAGGGTAGGGGTTATCATTTTGATTATTAATAAAGGGATTTAAAACATTTTGTAAGTATTGAGGTGTCTGCCAATGCATAATTTTGTACATCATTACATGTTTGTGTTTATTTCGTCTTACAGATAGTGTTTCCCAACCTAGTTCATTGTATAGTTTGTCATGTGATACCCCAGAACGAAGACCTGTTATTATCCTAGCTGCTTCTAATTGTACAGATTCAAGAATATCTTTTGCCTGTTGTGTACAATTATCCCAAATAATATCTGCATATTCCAAAATTGGCCTAATAAATCCCATATATATTTTAATTAATGATTTTCTATTGACTTTAGTTTTGACATGGCGAAGAATATTAAGTCTATTGTAAGCTTTTTTGTATATATTCTGTATGTGCTGTTTCCATGTTGCATCATCTTGAAGTGTAAGTCCTAAGTGTTGATGTGATGATGTGTCTATGATTTGGCTATTTTGGAAAAATAGTGGGATGTGATGGGTGTCTTGTTTTCTAGAAAATATGAGTGATTTTGTTTTACTTGGATTGAATTTAATGTCCCAAGTTGTTGCCCATTCACCTATGTTAGTAAGATCAGTGTTGAGAGATTGTGCGGCCTGTGCTGGGTTATCATCTATAATTACATACAGAGAAGTGTCATCAGCAAAAAGTTTGATATTGGTGGAAACATTAGTAGTGATATCATTGATGTAGAGAAGAAATAATAGTGGTCCGAGGACAGATCCTTGAGGTACCCCTGCATTTACATTCTTAAATTGTGAAAAATAACCTTCAGTATTTACTCTTTGCATTCTGTTAGACAGATAATTTTCAAACCACAAAAGTAGATTTCCATTTATACCATATAATTTCAATTTAAATAAAAGACCTTTGTGCCATACTCTGTCGAAGGCTTTACTGATATCACAAAAAACAAATCTAAGCTCCTTTCCTTTATCCATATTGCTTGCAATTTCATTATAAATAAACAAAAGCTGATTGACAGTAGAATCACCAGGTATAAAGCCAGACTGATGCTTAGTAATAATATCATTCTCAATCAAAAAGTTGTATAGATATTTAAAAACAATTTTTTCCATTATTTTACTGAAGCATGATGTAATTGAAATTGGTCGGTAATTTAACACATCATTAGATGAGCCATTTCCTTTATAAATAGCATTAACATTTGTTTGTTTCCAACTAAAAGGTATTATACCAGACTCTAGTGTCTTATTGAATAATAACATAAGAGGTAATTTAAGAGAAGCATGAAGCTTTTTCACAATTTTAGGAATAACACCATCAGAGCCTGGGGGTTTATTAGTGTTGAGTATATTAATTTGATCGGAAACATCTTGTTCAGTGATATGAATGTTTGATAGTGAATAGGGGGCATTGGGTTGTGCTGTTTGGGGTAATTCAAGGTCAGGTGTTGATGTAGAAATATTAGTGAAGTGATTGTTAAGAAGCTCTGCTTTTTCAGTTGGATGATGGATTATTTGGCCGTTGGATTCAAGTGGTGGAATAGAAGATGACTTATTAGAAAAATTGGTAATAGATTTAGCTATCTTCCACCATTTGTCTGGAGTAACCACATTTTCATTTAGTGACTTTTCAAGATTTTTTATAAAGTTTGCTTTTGCCTCACGGATAAGGTCAATAGTTTCATTTCGTAAGGTTCTAAATTGTTCCCAATAATGGGGATTATTTGTTAGTTTAGCTTTTCGGTGAATTCTATTTCGTTGTCTCATTTTCAATCTAATTGTATTATTCATCCATGGTTTATCATTTGGGCGCACAGTTATTACTTTTGTAGGAATGAATCTATTGACCTGCTCCGTGATTGCATTGACTATAGTGCTATTATAAGTATTAGAATCCTGATCTGAAGACAAATTCAACCAATCAATATCAAATAAGACATTGTTCATTCTATCAAAGTCTGCTTCATCATATTTTAAAATAGTTTTTTTATAGCTTACTTTTTTAAATACAGAATAAGAAATTGAAGCATGTACTGAGGAGTGATCACTGCAAAATGGTGGAGATACATGAGTATTTTTAACTATGTTTTGGTTATTAGTAAAGATAATATCAATGGATGTGGCACTGTCAGGTGTTATTCTTGTGGGTTCATTAATAAGACTAAGTAAATTATGTTTGATAAGGAGTCTTGATAAGTGATCATTCAACGGATGATTTAACATATCAATATTGATATCACCTGTCAGTACCACATCCAGTGAAGTATCTGTAGCTCTGGTCAACGTATTATCTAATTTATTCCAGTATTCAACATTACTTTCTGGTCTGTATAAACATCCAAGAAGAAATATATGATTATTAACTAATACTTCTAACCATATAAGTTCAACATCATCCTTTTCTAGGTCCATTCGCCTATTCATAACAATAGTATCTTTGTGATAAACTATAACCCCACCCCCCGGACCAGTAGTTCTATCTTTTCTATGAGGATTGGAATTGAAGGAGTGCATCTGAATGTCAAGGTTAGATATTGAAGGGTTTAAATGAGATTCTGTTATACAGACTATATCATTATCCTCAAATTCTGCTTCTACCAAGGCTGTCTTGTTTCTGAGAGACCTTACATTCAAATGAACCAAGTTTATATTTTGTACTGGCCCCGTATGTTATCAAAATATACAGATCTGTTATCAAGTATTATACTAATGAAGTGAGAGCCAAGATGTAGATTTAGAAAATGCGCTTTGAATAACCTAAAAAACAGCCAGAGATCAGATTTAGACCATACAAATTTTACCTTATAATTACCCATTGTCGATTAATAAGATGATGACTTGGTAGGTTCTGTTGATCTTCCAGCTGCTGAATAGTTTTCTTAACGCAATACATCGATTCCAGTTGAGCATGGCTGTATAATAAATATGGGACAAGCACAACACAATAACTACACACACACACACACACACACAGTTTTCATCAAAACACTTGGTTTACAAAGCAGGAAACGGATGCATCACAATCTATCTATAGGTGCCTGGGACGCTTGAACACACAGGGACTTGAAAATTTAGATATAAATAGTGAGCACGCGCCTGGTAAACATACTCACCGATTACTTGAAAAAAATGAAATAAAAGGATACAGCCAATAAATCTACTACCCAGTTTCAAAGAGAGGATATCAAATATGTAATATAAGTTTATGTTTCGTCCGATAGGAAAAAAGCTGCAGATTATTGTATTTTTTGAAATATTTGACAAAAATGTGCAAGTCAATCAGGTCCCTGTGAATCAGGTTGCCTTTATTTAGTTATACTTGTCGATTATGACAGACATGAGATATTTGGTGCTTTAAACACAGTAATAAAATTCGCAAGTGGGTTTACTGGGAGAAATGGAAAGTCTTTATAATTGAGACCCAATGAGTCATGCACGTGAGAGACGACGACGTGACTATACACGTAGTGATAAATGGAAAACTGAATTGGGGATTATATTATTCACAAGATAAGATTTTACGATAGATATGCATAGGTAAGTTTAGGAATAACCACACAGCATTAACTTTACATGAAGAATTTGAACCAAGATATACATTATTAATGTGTGTTGCTATAAATACATTGCCGGGGGCAACTGTATACATGTAGGTCACACATGGGTTGTAAACATTGATTCAAGTTTATAGTGTAATGTGACATTATTGCAGTTTTTGGACAATGATGCAGTGAAAATAAATGTATCGGTCGTTGTATATATATAGATTGATCTAGGTCATCAACGAAGACATACAATGTACAAATATTTGTAAATAAAAGATTGAGATGAGTAATTTATGGCTGATGAATTTGTTCGTTTTTCAAGGGATATACTATATATACATTATATTGTACGTTTTATTATATTGGTAGTATATGTATATATATAGTATTCACCGTGTAGATATAATACACATATGCATGTATTCCAAGTGGTAATACATTTATTATATTCTATAGATAAATATAGCCACGTAATTAATTGATGCACATGGTATAAGTTATACATACGTGGTGTATGAGTACATATACATACACGATTCTGCTATAAATACAAGTACATCTCCAGTTAGAATGCATCAATTGTGTAAATAATAATTTATACTAAAGTCAAGTTACACAATGTGAATGACTTGACAGCATCAGGATGACATACACATGAGTCGGTTAGAATAATACATGTAAACATTGCCTGTAACTAGGACATAAGTTTAATAAGAATGTATCCAAAACAGTATACAGTATACATGTATACCTAACATTATAGTTTTCCACATATCAGATAGAATTTTGTTATAATTTTAATAACTGAATGCACTTTTAAGCACATGGTGCACACATGTACATGTTCCTTGCTGCATTTATAGACATGGCAGTTCTACAATAAGGTTGTTGGGTTTGATTATCTATTTTCACACAAAATTTCAGTTAAAGTGTCAATACATGGCTACCAAGTTTATGTAAATGTACTTATATTGTGTATTATCCAGGTTATCGTCATGAATAATTATAATTTGCATACAAGGAAAAGATAGTGATATTAATAGTGAGTAAAACTTAACAAAGATGGAATGATATCATTAGGTGGTTATTATATATATAATATATATGTAATACGGAATACATTAAGAATATATATATATACAAAATAAGTCACTAGGAAACTGCCGGAGGATATGAAGTTTCTTCTGAACCATCATTCCTGAGGTAAGGAGGTGAATGAGTTGGATGTTTGAAGGACGGGTACTCGTTTATCACGTGCATGAGCACTTGGTTGGATGTAACGTCGCTGTCCAGGGGCTTGGGTTTCCAGTGTTCGAATCCTCGAGTCACGACGTTGGACTTTGATGGGAGGGGGGTCAGGGTAAGATGATAGCTCACTGAGCCTGATAACCTGAGCTTTGTCACCACTTTTATGTCTTATGATTATCCTGCCGTCATTGGTCCAGGTCCCAGTGATAAGACCAGACTGTTTAAGGAATCTTGCCTTAGCAAACACTTCAGCACGCTGTTTCGTCAGGGCCTCGTTAACAAACAGCTTGTATGGGCGTTGAGGAACTGATGGACTTGACTCAGTATTAGAGTCACTGGCTTTAGTGAAAAGCGAGAACCTGGTCTCGTAAACTGAAGCACGCACTCTGTATGATAGGAACCTAACAATAATGTCCCGTGGGTACTTATCAGACTTAGGCCCCACCCTGTGGGAGCGGCTGATATCACTTTCAGTTACCATGACACCGAGCTCCGTATTACAAACATTGATGATTAGAGAGTCAGTATTTTCACCACTTTCTTCAGGAACCCCTCTAAACTTAAGACAATTCCTTCTGGAATATTGTTCACTATCATCAAGTCTATTTTCCAAGGAAGTAATTTGGTTTCTGAGATCTGTGATACCCAGTTTCGAAATAAGTGTGTCCTTGAGAAGGTCATTGTTCAGGAGTTGGGTGACCACTTCATTAATTACACCTGGATCGGTTATAGAGTTAATAGTGTTAATACTTTTCTGGATAGATTTATTCATGTTGTATAATAACAGTTTATGAGTAGACAAACGACTATAGATGAATCAGTGGACGACGTGTACATGTATACATGTATATATTTTAACGAAACATGGCGACTACTCACTGGACTACGGTGACCGCTAATCACATGTAGAGAACGAAGAATGAAGAATATCCATCTTCAAAATTACGATGAATGTGGAGTAGTTTGACCAGTTGTATCCATTAATATGTAGAGGCAACCAAGTAGATCATGATGAGTCAAGTAGAGGTAGGGTTACATTATTGTACGAGAGATCGCCATTGTCCGTCCACTCGCTTCGGCCATGTCCATCTATGTCCATTGTGTATTATTTGTGAGAGTGTATATCTGACACGTTGTTTATGCATTTGCATACGTATACATTGTAACAGATTGAATCAGAATTCAAAATTAATCGTTTTTGTGGTCTGCTTCAATTCATTGTCAAGACATTTGAAAAGTATTTTGTATCTCCAACGAGTGTATTATGATGTTAAATATACTATTGATGGATAATAGTGTAACAACCTTTGAACCAATACAACTGCCTCTGACGTATGGGATAAATGATTTTGTCCTATATTAGTATAAACTATATATAATGAATTCATTCCTGTATCACCCACAATGCATAATCGGGGTTAATATCTTCTTGCTTTACCATAAGTATGACTGAAGACACAGTTGCTCAGTTTTCTTTGAAACACTCCTGGACACCAATGTGCTACTTTTCTATAGAAAAATGTCATCTTCTAAAACTGTGATAAAAGAGAATGGACGAAAATGGAGCATGGTAATATATATTCTAAACAGAATACCTTGTTAATTAGTGTTGCTTCCATTTCTTCTCACATTACTCATATACTCAATCTGCTATTACTATTATGTCACCCTGTTTATGTGTTATGTAACATTGAAGCCTTATCTCAGAAATAAGGAATGATTTGTTTCTTTTCTACCCATTAATTGTTTTGTAATCGTCTTCTTTCTGTCAGGAAACTTTTTCTGGGTTTTAACCTTATCCTTTACCTGAATGACTTAAAAAGGTTATTATATAAACAGAAATGGCGGACAAAGATAAAAGGTTATTATATAGACAGAAATGGCGGACAAAGATATTTGATGGAAGTAGGTGGGGATTTTTGCTACCATGAAAACTGTCATGTTGCTGCAAAGCATTATTGGGAAAACACCCCTGTACCCAACCCGTATTCATCAACACTTGCTGTGTCATTATATAAAAAGAATGAAGGGGCATACATTACATCTCTGAATGGAGGAACAGACCAGTACATCGCTCTTATTACATCATTCCAGGGAATACAAGAAGAGACCCGTAGATTACTCCTGCAAGAACATAAGCAGCCGAAGTAATTATAAAGTCTGCTATGACGGGAAATATAAACCCGGTAAACCGTGTTTGGTATATTCCTTTGGGTAAGCAATGTTAACCTTTAGTCATCCTGATACTGTTTATATTGAATGCTCTGTAAATTGATAGTAAAAGTACCAAATCACATCTATAGCGTGACGTCACATTCGGTTATAGAGGATGCTATAAAAACATATGTCGCCTTTATTCGAAGCAATGAAAATGATTCCCTTTCTGCAAAGAATTCTTAACTAATAAATATTGACGTTTTCAGTTGAGGAGATACGAGAAAATATAATACGTGGGTGATATGCTGTAACAAAGCTCGGTCTCTGTTGTGGTATAATACATAACACAATTAACTGATATAAAACATAACATTTTATTTTTTTAAAACTTGCCATGTTTTACGAAAAACGTATAAGATTTCTTCTATTAATCTAATGTTAAAATACTCGACCATCCGGGTTAATATCCAAGCCGGTTGGTTAGGTAGTGAAGTGGATAACGCACTCGCTTTTAATCATGAGGGCCAGTATTCGATTCTCCGACCGGGCGTGAACAGTTTTGGATATCTTCGTACCAACAGAGTGATAAATATAACTTGAAAAACGTGTGTCAGAGTTGACTTAACAACAAAAAATGATTAGATATATCCTAATTACTTAACTATAGCATGTTCATTTTCTCTAACCTGTCTTGTTTTGACACATAACAAAACAGTGGTTGTATATATATAAAAAAAGTACATGCATCAAAACCAATCACACTATATGCATGCATTAAAACTATAAGTAATAATAAGTATGAAAAAAATGGCAGTGGATTTTCAGACCATTTAAGGCAATTAATGTATGAGAATCTATATAAAACAATGAATGTAAAAAAACTAAATAAATTAATAAGAATAAATGTAACTGGCATTTTATCTTTTAAACAATGTCTTAATAATGAATTATGTAAATAATTTGGTTTAAGGATTGCACATGACTTTACTTTTGACGACGAAATGGCAACCAAAGATGGCTGTGAAGTGCACTCGTTCGACCCAAGGTAAGTCAGTACTAGTCACGTTTGAGAATAAGCAAAGCTATATTTTGGCAAGCAAACGTAATAAATATGATGATGTCACGGGAGAATAAAAAGATGTCATTCAGATTTTAGGCTGAAAGCGGTGTAGTTTATCTACCTTAGTTTTAATGATGTCATTGAGATCTTACGCTCATATTAGACCATATCTTCTACCTTACGGCGTATTTTTAACGACGCTATTGAGTTTTCAATCTACATCGGAGTTCGTTATCTACCGATGAGCGTATTTTCTACGACAATATCGAGAAAATGGATCACAGTAGAGTACGTTATCTATCACACTGTGGGTTGTGAAACCAGTCTCAAATCAAATAAGATTGATTTATGAATTAAACGCATGTAAGTTAGATTTATGATTGAACGTTTTTAATTGATAAATGAGTTTTGCACATACGAATTTGATTCAATCAAGGTTTTTCAAGTATGAATGTAATAGATAACGTAGTCTAATACTCGATGACGTCATCCAAGATAAGGAATAAAGTAGATGCATTGTAGCATACTCAAATGTAAGGTGGATACTCAATGGCGTCGTTAAAAATACACTGCAACACAGATACTGTGCTGCAATTTAAATTTGATTATTTCATGGTGTGTGAAACCCTTCAGCATATTACTAAAACACGTCATTCTGATGAAAGTGTGAGTTAAATACCTCATCACATTTTAAGGGAAGGCATGGTGTAAATGTGTATTAAACATGTCAGCAGGCTCTCAATATGTATTAAACTCATCAGCATGGTGTAAATGCGCTTGAAACATGTCATCAGGCTCCCAATATCTATTAAACACATCAGCATGGTGTAAATGTGTGTGAAACATGTCAATAGGCTCTCAATATGTATTAATTACATCAAAATTGTTTAAATATGTTTGAAACATGTCAACAGGCTCTCAATATGTATTAAACACATCGATACGGTGTTAATATGTGTGAAACATGTCAGCAGGCTATCAATATGAATGAAACACATCAGTATGGTGTAAATGTGTGTGAAACATGTCAGCAGGCTCTAAATATGAANGGTCAACAGGCTATCAATATATATTAAACACATCGATACGGTGTTAATATGTGTGAAACATGTCAGCAGGCTATCAATATGAATGAAACACATCAGCATGGTGTAAATGTGTGTGAAACATGTCAATAGGCTCTAAATATGTATTAAACACATCAGCATGGTGTAAATGTGTATGAAACATGTCAGAATGGATCTCAATATGTATTAAACACATCATCATGGTGAAATGTGTGTGAAACATGTCAGAATGGATCTCAATATGTATTAAACACATCATCATGGTGAAATGTGTGTGAAACATGTCAGAATAGATCTCAATATGTATTAAATACATCAAAATTGTTTAAATGTGTGTGAAATATGTCATCAGGCTCTCAATATCTATTAAACACATCAGCAAGGTGTAAATGTGTGTGAAACATGGCAATAGGCTCTCAATATGTATTGCACTCAGCAGCATGGTGTAAATGCGCGTGAAACATGTCAGCAAACTCTCAATATGTATAAAACACATCAACACGGTGTGTAAATGTGTGTGAAACATGTCATCAGGCTGTTAATATCTATTAAACACATCAGCATGGTGTAAATGTGTGTGAAACATGTCAATAGGCTCTCAAAATGTATTTAAATGTGTGTGAAACATGTCATCAGGCTCTCAATATGTAGTAAACACATCATCATTGTGTAAATGTGTGTGAAACATGTCAGCAGGCTCTCAGTATCTATTAAACACATCGGCAAGGTGTAAATGTGTGTGAAACATGTCAGTAGGCTCTTAATATCTATTAAACACATCAGCAAGGTGTAAATGTGTGGGAAACATGTCAATAGGCTCTCAATATATATTTAACACATCAGCATGGTGTAAATGTGTATGAAACATGTCAGCAGGCTCTCAATATGTAGTAAACACATCATCATTGTGTAAATGTGTGTGAAACATGTCAGCAGGCTCCAATATCTATTAAACACATCAGCATGGTGTAAATGTGTGTGAAACATGTCAGCAGGCTCTCAGTATCTATTAAACACATCAGCAAGGTGTAAATGTGTGTGAAACATGTCAGTAGGCTCTCAATATGTATTAAACACATCAGCATGTGTAAATGTGTGTGAAACATGTCATCAGGCTCTCAATATCTATTAAACACATCAGCATGGTGTAAATGTGTGTGAAACATGTCAGCAGGCTCTCAATATCTATTAAACACATCAGCAAGGTGTAAATGTGTGTGAAACATGTCAATAGGCTCTCAATATATATTTAACACATCAGCATGGTGTAAATGTGTATGAAACATGTCAGCAGGCTCTCAATATGTAGTAAACACATCATCATGGTGTAAATGTGTATGAAACATGTCATCAGGCTCTAAATATGAATGAAACACATCAGCATGTTGTAAATGTGTGTGAAACATGTCAGCATGCTCTCAATATGTATTGTACTCATCAGCATGGTGTAAATGCGCGTGAAACATGTCATCAGGCTCTCAAAATCTATAAAACACATCAGCATGGTGTAAATGTTTGTGAAACATGTCAATAGGCTCTCAATATGTATTAAACACATCATCATGGTGTAAATGTGTATGAAACATGTCAGTAGGCTCTCAATATGTAGTAAACACATCATCACGGTGTAAATGTGTATGAAACATGTCATGAGGCTCTCAATATGTATTGCACTCATCAGCATGGTGAAAATGCGCGTGAAACATGTCACCAGGCTCTCAATATGTATTGAACACATCAGCATGGCGTAAATATGTGTGAAACATGTCAATAGGCTCTCAAAATGTATTAAATACATCAAAATTGTGTAAATATGTTTGAAACATGTCATCAGGCTCTCAATATGTATTTAACACATCAACACGGTGTTAATACGTTTGAAACATGTCAGCAGCCTCTCAATATGTATTAAACTCATCAGCATGGTGTAAATGCGCGTGAAACATGTCAGCAGACTCTCAATATGTAATAAACTCAACAGCATGGTGTAAATGCGCGTGAAACATGTCATCAGGCTCTCAATATGTATTAAACACATTAACACGGTGTTAATATGTTTGAAACATGTCAGCAGGCTCTCAATATGTATTAAACACATCAACACTGTGTAAATGTGTGTGAAACATGTCAATAGGCTCTCAATATGTAGTAAACTCATCATCATGGTGAAAATGTGTGTGAAACATGACAGCAGGCTCTCAATGTGAATGAAACACATCAGCATGGTGTAAATGTGTGTGAAACATGTCAGCAGGCTCTCAATATGTATTAAACTCCATCGACATGATGTGAATGTGTTTGAAACATGTCCGCAGGCTCTCAATATGTATTAAACTCATCAGCATGGTGTAAATGCGCGTGAAACATGTCAGCAGACTCTCAATATGTAATAAACTCATCAGCATGGTGTAAATGCGCGTGGAACATGTCATCACGCTCTCAATATGTATAAAACACATAAACACGGTGTTAATATGTTTGAAACATGTCAGCAGGCTCTCAATATGTATTGAACTCATCAGCATGGTGTAAATGCGCGTGAAACATGTCAGCAAACTCTCAATATGTATAAAACACATCAACACGGTGTAAATGTGTGTGAAACATGTCAGCAGGCTCTCAATATGAATTAAGATATCAGCATGGTGTAAATGTGTGTGAAACATGTCAGCATGCTCTCAATATGTAGTAAACACATCATCATTGTGTAAATGAGTGTGAAACATGTCAGCATGCTCTCAATATGTATTAAACTCATCAGCATGGTGTAAATGCGCGTGAAACATGTCATCAGGCTTTCAATGTGTATTAAACTCATCAGCATGGTG